TGCCGGCATCGCGCCACACGCATACCTTGAAAATGTCATTTCTTGGTTGTTTTTTTTTCCTCAAAATGCACATTTTTAAATAATTTTGGCACTTTTTCACGGCTAAATCCCAACTCTGCGGTTCCACGGTGCCGGCGCAAGGCTGGCTCGCAGCTACGCCGCCATCAGGTGTTTCGGTGCCCGTATTTCACACCCGCCGCCGCTTCTCATTAGGCTTTAATCCGCCCGGGATTAACGAAGCCGAATTCTGCATCGTCAGGTTTTTTTCCCAGGCCGGAGCCGCCGGGAATGGGATTACCGATGACGGCGTTCCTCCCAGCGCCGCGGTCCTGACGGCATCGTTGGCGGCTCGGTCCCGCTTCGTTTCGAGGCGTTTTAGGGATATTTTTTTCTCCTCCGCGTTGCTGTGGAGCGAACGGCACCTCGGGAGCATCTTCCAGATGTAGGAGGGTCTCCGGGAAACACCGAAAAGAGGAAATTAGGAGGAAAAAATAAAAAAAAATAAAAAAAAATAAACCAAGAAGGGAATAACGGGAGCGGCGTAGAGAGGATGCGGTTTCGGCCCCGCATCCTAACGCTAACGAGGGCGCAGCGGGCGGCTGAAGGCCAACGCGGGACTTTACCGTCCTTCGGTGGATTGTTGTTATAATATTTGGAAGGTGAACGTGGGATTTTCCGGCCCTCTGGCGATTATTAATTATTATGATTAGATTTTGAAGGCAAACCTGCGATTTTCCAGCCCTCTATGGCTTATTAATTATTATATTTTTAAGGCGAATGTGGGATTTTCCAGCCCTCTCTGGATTATTATTGTTATTATGATTATTTTTTAAGGTGAATGTGGGATTTTCCAGCCCTCTGTGGATTATTAATTAATTAATATTGTTATATTTTTAAGGGGAACCTATGATTTTTGATCCCTCTGTGGATTATTAATTATTAACATTATTATATCTTTAAGGTGAACCTAAGATTTTTGATCCCTCTGTGGATTAATAATAATAATTATTATTATTATATTTTTAAGCCACATGTGCAATCTTCCATCCCTCTGTATGTTATTATATTTTTTAAGGTGAATGTGGGATTTTCCACCCCTCTGTGGATTATTAGTATTATCGTTATTATTTATTTATTTATTATTATATTTTGAAGGTGAACGTGGGATTTTCCATCCCTCTGTGGAGGAGGATGATGATATTATTATCGTTATTATTTATTATTATATTTTGAAGGTGAACGTGGGATTTCCCATCCCTCTGTGGAGGAGGAGGATGATGATATTATTATTATTATTAATTATTATTATATTTTGAAAGTGAACGTGGGATTTTCCATCCCTCTGTGGAAGATGACGATGATTATATTATTAGTATTATTAATTATTATTATATTTTGAAGGTGAACGTGGGATTTCCCATCTCTCCACGGCTTATTATTACATTTTTAAGGACAAATACAGAGGGCAGCTGTGGTTCAGGGCAGAGTTTGGCACCCTCTGCCATCCCGGTGCCACTGGGCGGCTGCCATCCCGGTGCCACTGTGCCGCCTCGAAACCCCCCCGTCACCGCAGGCGCCTGCGATGCCGAAGAGCCAAAACGGCACCGGCCGCGACAGCTTTGGGCTCTAAATCCCCATTTCTGCCCCGTTGAGGTTGCGCGTAACGTTACTATCGCCAAAAACGCCCCTTTTTGCCTCATTCCACCCCACAGCTGAAAAATCACACCCAGATCCAAACGCGTAAATTGAGTCGGATGAATATGACTAAAACTGGGGAGAAAAAACCCACCCAACTTCCTTCCCCCTCCCGCCTTAATCTCTATTATTTTTTATTTTAGCGTGTCGTTGGGTGGAGTCGCCTTACGCGTGGCCAAGAGGAGAGGGAACGGAAATGAAAATTAAAAAATCTCTCTTTTTTTTTCTGAGCTAGAAATCCCGCTTTCCAATGCTTTGCTCTCCCAACCTTTAACTCCGGCCCCCCGTAAAAACGCAAATCCTCTTGGATTTCCAGCTCTGACCCCATTCCTGATTTATTTATTTTATTTTATTTTTTGCCTTCTGCGCCCAACGAATCTTGAAGGAGAGGCCCCGAGTGCCTGGATTTAATTACCTGAGTTGTTTTGGTATCGATAACGCAGCCAACGAACTTTCGATAGAGAACCAGAGAGCGTCTGGAATTAATTTCCCGGGACGTGTTGACGTTGAGGATCTCCGTCCTCCGTGTTATAACTTGCTCTTCTTTTTTTTTTTTTTTTTTCCTTTTTTGTGATTTTTTTTTTTCTTGGAATTTTGCAGGTTATTTTTTAAAGCCCGCCTTGCCGAGGTCGAGGAAGACAAACTGTTGCGGAGTTGGCAAGGAAAGAGCGCGGCTCTTCGGTGAGATGTCCACCAAGGTGCCCATCTACCTGAAAAGGGGCAGCAGGAAAGGGAAGAAGGAGAAACTCCGCGACATCCTCTCCTCCGACATGATCAGTCCGCCTTTGGGGGACTTCAGGCACACCATCCACATCGGCAGCGGCGGGGAGAGCGACATGTTTGGCGACATCTCCTTCCTTCAAGGCAAATTTCATCTCCTCCCCAGGACCGAAGGAAGCCTCGATTCCGACAAGGACAGCCCCGAGGCGACGCCGTTCGAGTTCTCCAGGACGGCCACCATCTCCGGTCGCGAGCAGCCCTCTTCGGAGACATCTTCTCCCCTCCTTAAAAACGCCATCTCTTTACCCGTCATCGGGGGACCACAGGCTTTGACGTTGCCCTCGGCGCAAGCCCCGCCCAAACCGCCGCGCTTGCACCTCGATGACAAAACGCCGCCGGCGCGAAACCGGGAGGAGGAGGAGGAGGAGGGAGGCAGGAGCGCCGTCCCGCTGCCGCATCCCTGCGCCTCGCGTTTCGCCGCCCCGACCAACGGCTTCGCCGAGGAGAAGGGCGACGCCGAGCCGCCCTTCCTCTCCCACGCCGGCTCCCTCCTCTCCCTCCATGTGGATTTGGGGCCCTCCATTTTGGAGGACGTCCTGCAAGTGATGGAGAAACACCAAGCAGAGCGAACGGGTGGATCTCTACAGGATTCGGGCCGGCAGGAAATCTTGACGTGAAGACGACTCAAGGTAAAGGCATTGAGAAATGGATTAAAATTATTAATTGGGGGGGGGAGTTGGTTGGTTTGGTTTGAAGCTGTCCTTAATTCACAGCGCAAATTTGACTCCGCGCACCTTCCTTAACCGGCGCTGTGGTGTTTCCTCTCGCAGAGCTCGTCGCGCTAACGAGACGTGAGCGTTTCTCCTCGGCGCTGCTCCCCACGGATCTCCGGCTGTTCCCGCAGCGCGGGGGAGAGGGGAAGAAAAAAACCAAACAAAAAAAGAATGAAAACCACCCTACGAAAGCCGCTCGCCCGTTTCCACTTCACCTTTTCGCCGCGGATCGAACCGTAGGACTGCGCCGAGCGGTAGAAAATAAGACAGCGCGCCATCAGAAACGGTTGTTGCACTGGACGGGATGGAACAGCACCGGTTGAATTCCCAAATCGGGAGGATTTGGGGAGGGTTTGGGGGTTTGTTGTTTGGTTTTGGGGTTGGTTGTTTTGTTTTTTTTGGCTTGGAGGGGCTGCGGTTTGCAATGAGTCGAGGCGAAGGCGTGACGCTCGTTGTTTGTCGGCCACCGGAATAATCAAGGGGATGTCAAACGTCAGCCTTTGAGGTGATTTAATATTTTTTTAAGATCTGCAAAAATCGGTAAATCGGTTACATGGGCAAAGGCTCCATCGGGCTTTAACGTTGCGCCGTCTCTAAGGGGAAGCGAAAAGCTCTGCGTGGAGAAGCTAAAAAGAAAACCAACCCCCTCTCGGGCTGTATTTTAACAACTGAACGCGTAGAGTTTGGGGTTGGAATTTCAAGTCGTAAATAAGATGCACAAAAAAATACCCAACCCCAACAAAAAAGAGAATTGTGAAGCTGAAGAGCAGCCGGATTCCTGCGCCGTGCGGGAAAACGCGTTCTCCCGAAAGACGCCGCCCTCCATCAATCGCGGATTGTTTTGGCTGGACGGAGGAAGGAGGGGGGTGAAAGGCTTCGGCACGCAGAAAGGAATGTGAATCCCTTCTGTTTTTTTTTTTTTTTTTCCCAAATAATTTAAAAAAATAGAAAAAAATATCAGTGGAAATGCCAATTCTGCTGACAGCGGAGCGAAAAGAACTTCACGCCCGACTGCGAGGGCTTTTATCCTCGTTCCCCCATCTCCGAATCGAGGACAAGAGGAGCCTGTTGGACTCGGTAACAGCGTAAAAGCAAGCGGGACCTCGTTTTCTAGATGCCATCGTTAATTAACTGCGTTATTTTTAACCGTTTCTGGTAGTTTTAACCCAGGCTGAGACTGGGATTCCCCCTTAGTTAAGGGATTAAGGCACCTCTTTACGAACACGCTGAGTTTTCGCTGCCTTGCCGGAGCCTGACCATGTGTTTCTTTACATCATCGATTGTTCTTTCCTACAGGTATCGTTAAATAACGAGTCATTAGATTAACGAGCTCGTAGCTCGTCACCACACAGCTGTGTCCCGGCTCTTGCTTACTCTTACCCCCACGGGACGCTCACGCTTTTAAGACCAAAAGACTCTGTTTTGGTGGAAACACTACAAATTTGGGGGTAAACCAATTTTTTTTTTTCCAAGCCTGCAGCCTGCAAACCTAATTAAGAAAATGAGGTTAATTGAGCCCAATCTGGGCAGCCACTGGGTTTAATTTCGATTTGATTTTATGCTGATATGCTTCAACCTGCTCTAAACTGGCGGCGCTTCCTCCGAACACACCCATCCACGTGGCGATGACTTATTTTTATTTATTTTAGGGGGTTTATCAGAAATAATCCCAGTGATGGGCTTAGGGGGGCTGTTTTAGAGTATCGTTTGTAATTAATTTACCCTTAATTTATTTCCATGGAAGATGTGGCTGCGTTTCCCAATTGTTTCCTTGCTAACACGCCGCAGCTGCTGTTTGGTCAAACAATTTGAATGAAAAAAAAAAAAGCCTGGAATGGATAATTTTGGGTGGTTTTGGGGTGTTTTTGTGTGGCCCAACATCTTTGTGTGAAGTTGGGGGGGTATGACAGCACAGAGGGCGCTTGTTTTCATGGATTTCACCTTAATTAGTGAATTAAAGTGAGCCAGGGATGAAGATGTTTGAGTTTCCCCACACACACCCCTCTGCTTAATTATCATCAGCAATTAGGAAATAATCGCTGCCGGATCTGGGCAGCAGCTTCCCCACGTTTCGAAATAACACCACAGAGGTAACAGCCAAAAATCCCCTTTTCTCCCCATTTTTTGCTCCTTCCGCTCGTTACAAGCCCGGTTCTCTCCGCAGGGAGTTGGAGCTGCCACTTGTGTCTGGATCTGCTGAAGGAAAAAGCCTCCATCTACCAAAACCAGAACAACTCCTGATCCTCCCGCTCCGACCACCCCACGGTGCCCTCGTTCCACGCGGTTTCCTTTTCATTTTGGGGTTTTTTTCCCCCTTTTTCTTTTTTTTCCGGGGCGTTAATGGCTTTAATTTGACATTAAATTTGGCACCTCTTGACGGTTCTGAGCTGCGTCCGAGGGGATCCATCCCTCTCCGATCGTCCCGCTCCAGTGCTGGAATCGCGGCGCCACCAAAACTCCGATAGCTGGAAGAGAAACGGGAGAGCTGCTCTTACGCAGGGCCGAAGGGAAAAGATGCTTTTAATTTACTGGATTTTGGTGGGGTTTTTTCTGCTGGGAAAAGGCAACGCTCCTCTGCAACACACCTCTCTGCCCGCCGCTGCCCTCTCCCACCCACCTCTCAGATTATATTTGAGATAAACCCCCTAAAATTAGCCCAATCCTAATTTTTTCCCCCCATTTTTCCGGGCGTAATGTCGCCTCCTTAGCTGCAAAAAAACCCCAAACCTAACCTATCACCTGAAATTACCCCAATCCAATTTTTTTACCCGCATTTTTCTGGGCGTAACGTAATCTCTTTAGGTTTTTTGGGTTTCTTTTGCAGCTACCTCCTGAAATTAGCCCAATCCTATTTTTTCCCCCCATTTTTCCAGGCATAATGTCATCTCCCTAGCTGCAAAAAACCTAAAATGAACCTATCCCCTGAAATTAGCCCAATCCTAATTTTTCAGGCATAATCTCATCTCCTTAGCTGCAAAAAAAAAAAACCCAAAACAACCTATCCCCTGAAATGAGCCCAATCCTATTTCCCCCCCCATTTTTCTGGGCATAATGTCATCTCTTTAGTTTTTTTGGGTTTCTTTTGCAGCTATATCCTGAAATTAGCCCAATCCTATTTTTTTCCCCCATTTTTCACAGGCGTAATGTCATCTCTTTAGGTTTTTTGAGTTTCTTTGGCAGCTATCTCCTGAAATTAGCCCAATCCTGTTTTTTTCCCCCCATCTTTCCTGGCATAATCTCATCTCCTTAGCTGCAAACAAAAAAAAAAAAAACCCAAACCCCTCCAACCTATTTCTTTAATTAATTTTTAGCTATTAGGAATAAAATCATTTAGGATTCCCCCTGCCCTGGGGTTTTTGCACAGGGTGGGGGCTTCCTTCACCCCCTCCTTCCCTCCCTCTCTCCGGTCCCTAATTAATCACTCAAATTGCTAATTTATGCAAACAGCTGTTGCTAAACCCTGTTGTGTTTGGTTTTTTTTTTATATATATATATATATATTCCCTGTTCTAAGAAGTGTGAGTCACTCGGGCAGGAACGCTGTGACTCAGCCGGCATGTGCCGAAGAACAACCTCTTTCCCCCCTCGCTTTTTTTCTTTTTTTTTTTTTGTTTTGTTTGAGGATTAAGGCAGAAAAAAGTTAACGAGAGGTTTGATTAACTCTCAGGGGGTAGAGGCTGACGTTCGACTGTTGGCATCCAACCTATCCCCACAACTTCTTCGTTATCCCAAGATTTCCGGGCAGCGGATTAACGAGGCAATAAACTCGGCCAAACGCCTACGCCGACATTTAGCGTTGGAACTCTTCCCCGCGCTGTGAGCCCCGACCCTGTCGCAACACCACCATTCCTCACAGTGACAGAACCTTGAAATTTTATGGGGTTTTTTTATTATTTTTGGTTTGTTTTTTTTTTTTAATTGATGGGGCAGGAAAATAAAGCAGCTGCGTTGCACGCAAGGAACAGCCGGCACGGGGATTAAGAGGAGGAAGGGCAGAGAGAAGGGTTTAAAGTGCTGTATAACCATGGGTGTATATGAAAAAAACAAAAATAAAAGCAATTTCCCAGCAAACAGGGGGAAAAAAAAACCCAAACAAAACCACGTAGAAAGTGGAATTGAGAAGGGAAAAAGAGAGGAATTCACCTGAAAGCTGCTGCTGGACAAACTGTGCTCGCTGCGGGGTACGCCGGCAACTTTGTACCGGTCTCTCTGCCCTGTGGGGTGAATTTGGAGATCTTTGGTTGATTTAGGTTTGATGAAAAGCGACAAGAGCTCAAAAATGTAAATTTTCGACACGGGTTTCCAGGGATGAAGAGGCTGGGGGTGGGGTGGGGGGTGGTTTTTGGGGCACAGCGGTTGTGGCGGCACCACCCACTGAAATCAAAAACACTGGTAGGGGATCTCTGTGGAGGTTTGAGATCTGATGGGGGGGGGACGACCCTCATTTCATCCCCCCCTCGTTTCATCCTCCCGACCCTCATGTCTCCCTCGTTTCATCCTCCCGACCCTCATGTCTCCCTCGTTTCATCCTCCCCTGACCCTCATTTCTCCCCCGTTTCATCCTCCCCTCAATCCCTTTCCTTGTCACCTCCTCCTCACATCCTTCCCCCTCCACCTTCATCCTCTTTTCCTCATCTACCCTTTCCATCCCTCCCCTTACCCCTTTTCCTTCCCCCCAGTCTTTACTCTTCCACGTTTACCTCCCCCATTTGCCCTCCCCCCACCCCATCC